AACAAGTCTTAAAATGATTGTTTAAAATATTGTACGGAAATTGTACTTAATATTCTTCATCTTCCCACTGCCTTTTCATTAAAAGTTCGCAAAAACGATTTAAATATTAATACTATTCTTTTGTTAAAATAATATCCATATTAGGTAGGTAATAGTTGGAGAAACGTGATTTTACTGCACATAAACGTTTAGAGTTGAACTAAACAGGGAAATTCGACTTTCTTCTCTCTTTCCCAGAACCAGAGCTCAGCACTTCGAGGCATCTGTGACTGTCGCCATGCCCGATCCGAGGTGCCCTCTATGCTGCCTTGGTAAGACTACCAAAATGCTACAAACACTTTAATGGATACATTTATTACCTCATGTATAGATAAGAAAAGCATCTTGAAATTTCTAAATATGTCTCATTAGTACAATAAAATGAGTAAGTGTAAAATAACAGTTCTGTTAGCACTTTGCAAATCATCTTTGCTTTTCTTATTAACTTGTTAGTCTGAATAAGTATGTAAAGTCTGCAATGTTTGCATTATTAACTAAGAAGTTTAAATTTTAGTTTACTGCGAAGTTTAATTTTTTTCTTGTTTACCTTAAGAATCATATATATCTAAACCTGTTTCATTTTTTATTTTCAAAAATAAAAATAGTTATAAGATGATTGAAAGCTTGGAGAAGCAAATGCTTTGTGTGACGCCCTCTCCAAAAGTCAGACATACGTTGCAAATATTGTGAAAAAATGCGGACTACAAGAGCTTTGACATGTTTATGAATAATATTATTTTTCCGAGAATGTATTTCAATTAATTTTCGCTCGAATATTTCATTGACTTCGTGAAGTATATTCATGTTAATCATATTATTAATTATGAAAGTGATATATGGAGGCAGATCCGTTAATAAAATAAAAATTAAGAATTACTGGTTACTGATGGTAAGTAGATCTTAGAGCTCAAGAGAAGTGTTCATCTTAAATCATTTTTGATTTCACTAACAATGGTCTCCTACTTTACAAACTATTGAAGTAATTGGTTAATTGGCATGATGTAACTTAATATGCAAGTGTACTTTTAGCAGATTTTTGACTTGATTACACTTAAAGATCGGAATTATCTTCGTTTTCAAGCTTTAGAATTATCAAAAATATAACCAATTATTTAATAAATCGCAGACGATAAAAATAAAATATTCAAATTTAATTTTCTATTTAAATTAAATTGAGTTAAGAACCAAATATTTACTTTAGTATGCGTTTAGTGTCAGACTTATCATTATCTAAGCTTTTAATTATAAATGTGCATTATAAAAGTTACAAACTATAATTTTAATTCATAATGTGTATCAATGTGGTACTAAGCAATTCATGATATTACAAACAAATTTTTGTAGTTGTGCAAAAATAATTATTGAAGTAGGATATGATCTAAAGTCATTGCCCGATAGGGAATAATGGGATTAAATGGGCCGTCAGCTTAGATGATCCAGGGAGTTTAAAATTAAAAAATGGCGCCATTTTTAAATATCATTATAGAAGGCTGCGTACAGCTAACAACGGAACCAACTTGTGTTTCTGTAGATCCTGTTTACTACTTGCCATCTTCATCCATTCACCTTGTCATACTGTATGTAAATAATGTAGAAAATATGTAGAAAATACCAAGAAAATTGTATGTAAATAAACACACTGACTTATAATTTTTAAGCGTAATGGAAAAAAATAAAACATATGAAAAGCGAAGTTGGCCCATCTGCACCCACTCTCTCCGGCAGTCTCACTTACTTAAATATTTGATGAACTTATTGTCTTTGCGTCTTCCCGAGAAAATTGCCAAGTTCTCAAGTCTGCTGTGTGAGGGGCAATGACGAGATCCGTGTATTATCTGTCGCAGGTGCACGACATTGCTGCCACCCGCGGGAAGGGCATTACCCACCCACTCGCTACTGCAACTTGGAGACGACTGCGGACGTAATACGAAGGTGCTGCTGCCGACGGTAGCACCGACAACTAGCGAAATCTCCGAATTACACACAGTACCCGTTCCTTTCCTCGGTAAGTCGAACGCTTTTCTTATTTAAACGTACGTAATCAGTGGTGTGGATAATATTCCAAGTGCCGGCACTCGCACCTTGGTGGTTTCAATTTTGACGCGTACTTTATTCAAACAGCGATTTTGATAGGGTAACGGCTATTGTATCTATTTTATTCGAATTTGTGGTTTTGAGCATTGTGGAAGCCGTAACGTGTTGGCGAAACAAGTTATTTTTTCTTCTTTATTGCTCCATCATTCAAGTCATACGCATCCATCGAACACTACTCGTCTCTGACATAGACGGAAAGAGGATTGTAAAGACGGAAAGAGCTTCCTTCATTCATACTGATTGCTCATTTGATTAATTCTTGGAAATTGGCGGAATACTTCTATAATGCGTGATCTGGGCTGTCCGGGTGACGCCGCGTCGAAGGCTGTGTTGCCGATGTTTCGACAATCCTGTCGTGCATGCGTCGTGTATGCATACCAGCCCTGAGGAAGACCACGACAGGATGATCGAAACGTCGGCAACACAGCCTTCGACGCGGCGTCACCCGGACAGCCAAGATCACGCATATGACTCTGGCCGCGGAAGCCTACGACTTCATACTTCTATAATCACAAGTCGCGGCTTACGCATCCTCTACACTATTTCAATTACACACTAGCCTCAATTCACTATCCCTTCACACTATTCTCAATTACAAGGGGTGATCTAATTATTACAAGAGTGAATCTTTATACTACAAAACGAAATCAGGCTAGTTACACCATTTATAACTCAAGAACGGCTGGACCAATTTTAATGGTTTCTGATTTGTTGGATTTATTTCCGCCCCGTATGTCAGAATAACTATTAAAATATCGAAAAAAATCACTAGATAGCGCTGTAGAACAAAAATAAATATTCTTATCGAATGCATCCCATAGTACGCTCGGCAGAATGTTTTGAGCCTATATCGTTAAATAAATCGTGAACAAAAAGTTCTAGGGCATTAAAAATTAAAAGTGTGGAGCCAAAGGTCTCAAAGAAAGTTTCTCACACCGTAATCTACGGGATGAGATCTTTTAGCACATTATACTAGGTTTTTGCTAGGGGGAAGTGGAGAGGGGGGCAGAGAGGTGGGAAGGGAGAGAGAGGGGTAGGGGAGAGAGCGGAGACAAAAAGAGAGAAAGGAAGACGAAAGTTAGAACAATATCTGCCGGGTTCTGCTGGTTATTACATAAAAAACATTACAAAATATGTGGTGTAATTCAATAGACACTCAATATCCTCTTTTTTGTCAACAGGTATTTTTTATTGTTTTGATGTGACAATCTGTTTGCAACTTTTAGGTGAAATATCACAAAGACATCTGTTGGAGTGACATATTTCTACATCAGTGCAGAGGAAATGACGCGTTACAGACGTCGGGAACGAAGTTCTGAGAGAGAAGGTACATAATTTTTCTTTTCGAACATTTTAATAGTTTAGTACCATCCTTGGCGTTCCCCAAACTTCGCATAGACCTTACTCGGTCCTGTACTTTGGCATATTTTTCCATGGTATCCTTTGGTTTCATATCGGTGCTTGTAACACGGTTCTGGGGAAGAAATCCAGTTCCTCAACTCAGCAGACACATTGCGCATAGTTGCCTGAGAGGCCAAGAGATTATGGAATTATTAGAGTAGTACGTAGTACACGCGGGAGTCGGATTGCCCTACTCCACGAACATCACTTAAACATTGATGCCTTATGCGGGTTTCGTACCCACAGCCTTAAGAGTCCATGTACGTTGTTGACTCATCTGCTCCGAGCTCCTCTCTCACTACGCTGTCACTAGACCGCTTTTGTAAAGTATTACTTTTATGTAACACAACAGTAATTTGATAAATAATGTTTTGAAGCAAGTGTTTTGCAGCAGTATTTCAATAATTTTGACACCATTCATTTCAATGCGTCAACAATGCAAACAATGTTATATTAGTATTCAAATTTATCAAATCTATCAAATCTATCATCATGGCTCTCGGTAATGAACTCTTTTCTCAAAATTAATTAACAGTACAAAATGTTGTATAAAATAATATTTACAGAACGTATCAGTTAATGGAATATGTGAGTTTATTTTCATGTAATGTTTATATTAAGAAAAAAATCGTGGGATTGTGGCATAGGGGCATTTCCAAACACCCGTGCATCAATCTACACCCTATATTCTTCCATACTTCTTTGGCCTAACATGTGTGGTACATTTCAGAGCATTTATGTGTGTATTTGGGAACTGGCTCACTACACCCCCATCCATTTGGTACAAGCTCCTAAATGGGTTCTCTGGGAACCAGGAACGTATGTGCCATGGTACAGGCCGAAGATCGGCGGAAGGGCTACTTTGGCGTGATGTCCATTGTAGTTACCATGGAAGGCCCTTTTAGGATCCCGATGGACGGCAGCCAGAAGGGTTGTGAGAACTGAAACGGTAGCCCGAAATCAATGGAAAGAGGAACTAAGTAGGGTGGACAGTCTAACGATACCACGATCGCGTTGCACTGGATGTCCGATTAACGGCGAGGCAAAGCGCCGAGGTGTAGGGTCTGCACTAGCCAGTGAGCGTACGAGTTACAGGAGATAGAAGTATGGAAATTAAATCCAGAGTAGTCCATACTTGATACACATCTAGATGTGTATAAGAGACAGGTCCGGGGGACGGTGCGTCGAGGGCAGTGATGCCAACGTTTCGACCACCATTACGCGGTCTTCAGGTCATTATCTCATGATGGACGAAACGTCCGGGTCCCTGCCCTCGACGCGGCGTCTCCCGGACAGACGAGAGTCTTCACATGACTGGCCGCGGAAGCCTCTGATTGCAAATTTGAAACATATCGAAATTAAACTGGTTGTACAAAGAGCTCGAGCGTGTGTGATCATTTAGCTAACGCGCCCCGCTTGTTTGGTGCTCGCCAGGGTCGGCTTCGAGCTGCGGCCACAGGAACAAGCGCAGTCGCAGCGAGATGGCGTGCGGCCGCCACGGCCGCTGCTGCGTCCCGCCCGAGGAGGCGGACGCGGGGGCGGAGGCGGGGGCGGGGCGCCTGCAGCCCTACGTGATACGCGGCGGCCAGCGGGTGCGCTGCAGGTGCGGGAAGCGCGACGGCCTGCAGGTAACGTCCAGTCCCCTATACGTACTATATAAAGTTTTTATGGTAAGTGCGAAATGGCACATTTTTCAAAAACGTTCAATGGAGATTTTCTCAAAATCAGTTCCAATGTTTTTTAGAAAATTTTGAATATGACAAGAACTATGTCTTCATAATGAGAAAGTTATGATAATGATATTGTATTGTGAATGTCTCATATAAAAGAAAAGAATGAGGGATCCAAAACATATGAAAACGTTGAAAAATGAAGGTATTTATTTAAATGAAATTCAGATTAAAAAATATGGATATTATAGTAACTATAAGTACAAAAATTGACAAGTTCCATACATTTAGTGTTCTGCAATACTGTGACCAGCAATGCATTTTTAAATAGCTTGTAGATTCCTAGGTAAACGTTTATTATGGACGATTGCTCCAAATCTAATTGAAGTGTCGTTGCCTGCAGGATGACATCCCGCCGCCGCGGAAGAAGGAAGACGTTCTCAGGGCTCCTCCAAACGACATCCAAAAGACGTTATCCACGTGTCCAAACCCAGCTCGCCTCCCCGTAGAAAGCCCACCGCTGCTGCCCATCGAAGACCCGCACCTCCCGGCCGTGGGGGGCCCACCCCTGCTTCCGGACGTGTGCCCGCTGTGCCGCAGCCAAACCTACAACCTGCCCAACCTGCTGAGCCTGCCAGTTGTGCGCGAGCCGGGCCTGGAAGTACCGCCTGGGGTGGAGCCCTCTGGCGACGTCCTCGGGCAGCTGCCAGCGGCGGGGCCGGGGCTGGGCGTGTTCTGCCCGTGGAGACAAGCCCCACCTCAGGCCGGGGCGGGGTGCCTTTGCCAGTGCGGCCGATCGCTGGATGACGCCGGGCGAGAAGTTCAAGGCCACGCCAGGCGCCTTCAGTGTTGCGGGGAATCCGCGGCCAAAATAGCGGAGCGGATCGAGAAATCTCTGCAGACCGCGACTGCCCTCGATGCGAAGTCGAACGCGAAAGAGCATCTGCGGAGGAGTCTGTCACGAGGTGAGGGGGCTGCAAGAGAGTCTGCAAAGCGGAGCGCGTCAGTTCCACAGCAGATGAATCTAACTCGGGACGGATGCTTGAAAATGATTCAAGAGTCTAAACAAACACGTGCCACCCATGACACGCCTGTGTATGCTACAACTATACAAAATATTCAAACCCCATGGCCTGTGATTAAACAGCACTCGACGAGTTTGCATAAAGAAACTCATGGGGAAGGGTCTCTGAATCGCTCCTCACATGCACTACAAACACAGAATTCTTTGGAGCGATCACAAGGAAGACATTGTCGTGATACACCAGCGTGTACTGGTGCCGGAGACAAAAGTACTTCTCCCGGACCGCAGTATAAATACAATTGGTGGTGCGTGCCGCAACCTTTTGCTCGATTTGCTTTACAACATAATGCAAAGGGTGATCCAAGACGAATTGAAACTGAACCTGAAACGCCGCGGCCGGTTTATTCCGTTGTATGTCCACATCATCCTCATTGGCATTCGGTATGTAAATGTGTTCATAGAATTCCATTTGTGCTGCAGACACCTGTAACGACAGATGATAGCAATGACATGGAGACAGAGGATAGAAAAACTTCTATTTCACCGAGCAGTAATCAGGACGTTTACAGTGAGAGTGCGAAGCCGTTAACGGAAACGAATAATTGCACATCAGTGAATTTACAAGAGTCTAGTAGAAATGAGGAAGAAATTTCTAACGTATCTAAAGGCAGAGGAAAACTCGAGACAACGAAAAAATCTTCATGTTGTCAACAGAGAGAAATAGCCACCCAGACACTTGTCAGTTGCGTGAAAATGCCGTTGTCAAGTGAATGTAACGGAAAGACCATTTTTGCATCAAGGGAGACTTTGTACAGAAAGGTCGACGATTCCCTTCAGCCCATCAACAGGCCCAAAACAGATTCAGGCACGCAGACAATACTCACCATTGCCCGTATTACACCAAATAGTGGTTTGGGAATTTCACGTACAGCCTCCAAGGGAACTGTTTGTGGCTCGTTCGTCAGAACGATCGGTCCTAGCAATTCTGTGAAATCAATGTCCGGGTTGCAGTCAATATGCCCTATCGTACGTAAGTTGATTCCGAGCAGAACCGAGAGCGTCAATAGCACAGCCTCGAAAGGCACAATATGTAGTAGGTCCGAAAGAGTGGTTCTACCAACGCGCCCAGAGGGACGGGAAATAGCGATTCAGGCAGGCGAGACGATACTGGCACAACCGCGAGCTAGCAAAAGTCTAGAACATACGAACTCTGTCCATCGACCAATTACCAGGCCTCGAACTCTTTCTTCTTCTTCATCATCATCATCGCCCTGCAGCAGTGTTGCGGACACAATCACTACTCGGCAAAGTGGAACGACCTTCCCTCTTTTATCCTGCCCGGAAGACATGTTGGGATTGCCGTACTTCTCCTGGCCACGGCTACGGGCAACATCCTCGCGCAAAACGATGCGTGACGTGGAGTGTGGTTCTCAAGGCGACAGGGTCCTTCTTGATCTCGATGACCACGAAGAACGCTTTGGAGGCGGAACTTCGGTAGCTCCTTCGTCGGTGGAGTGTGGATCGAGAGCGTTGGGAATTGGTGACGAGGAAATGAAACGTCAGGAACCAACAAGCACAAACGTCGAGACACATAACCATCGACCGGTTGAATGCGACCAACCGCCGAGACAGCATGTTCCCGGTGGCGAAGGCAGGGCCGTAATCGCAAATAACCGTCGGGAGAACGGGTGTGCGCCACTTGTCGGGAAAGCTCTCCAGCCTAAGTGCCTAAATGCTGGAAAGGAAGGTCAGGCGCACAGTGCAAAAGCGGCAGGGCCGCTGCCTCGTCCTCCAGCGAAACGTCCCTTAGAAATTTACGTTCCAACGCCACAGGGACAATGTGTACAAAGGGGGGCGAACCAGAAGTTAAAACAAACACAGCGAAATCAGCCGTTTGTGAACAGCAAGCCCAACAGCTGACGTCCTGAGATGCCAAGCATATCGAGGTCTTTGAGTTTCAAAACGAGACAGAGACAGGGCATTTTTCATCGCATGGCACCATTATTGAGATGTCTTGTCAAATACTACTGGCTGGCCAACTGTGCGTGACATTCTATCATGCGCTGAAATAAATGGGAGTGGAATACTCACATTTATGTAAAGTACATTTTCTAAATATTTGATACCAATATTGTTAGTGTTATATCAATAAAAATGATTGCTAATACCTTTATGACGATTCATGTGTGATATTTTGTTGTTAATTAAAAGGTTTAATATTAACATGTTTTTGATCCTAAAGACACGATATTTTAGTTAGAGTACAGTACAAGGTCATTAATATAAAAAAATACCTCTTTATTTTACTTTATTTTTAAGACTTTTTCTTAAACCATTGTTAAATTAAAATGCAAGAATAAACTCATATTTATATGAAGTAATGAAGAGAATGTGAATTAAACTGACAGGCAAATATTTTTCCAATGACAAAAATATTTCTCACGGAACCCTATTAAATATTATTGTTTATGGTTTGATGAAAGTTCAATTCATAATTATGGTCACAAAAGGTAACAATGAAACCAAATAAAAATAAAACTGAAAAAAAAAGAATTCACGTATTTTGTTGACAATGACCTTGTGGATCATGTTCCCTGCTTAAAAAACCGAAAAATATCAGTAAATAATTTAATAATAAACATTGAGATAACTCCAAATATTGATATTCGATGCATGTTCCGACTCTACTTGCCTAGTACACAACCTAACGGCACAAGGATTGTTCCGTATTGCTTTTGCCTGGTAATCTACGTGGGATGATTCAGAAAAAAGTGTTACTAAAGTTTAGGACATGTAGGGGGATCAGAGATAATAACCTTTAGTAATGAACATGAGCGGGGAAATCTCACATTATTACTTCTTGTACTTGGGTGTCTGGGAGACGTCCCGTCCTAGGTACAGATGCCAACGTTTAAGCTATCATGCTGCGACCTTCCCCAGGGCGAAATGCTGAAGAAGGGCGCAGCATGACGGACAAAACGTTGGCATCTATATCTATATCTCTATAGATGCATTGAGTGGCGACATATGCCTGAATCCATCCAGTGAAATGGCAAGAAAGTAAAGCCATTAAATAATTGCTGTCAAAGACGCATTGGGAGTAATAATGAGACCGAAGGTTAAGGCGAAGAAAACTCTGCCTGAAAATTATAAGTAGAGAAGGGTCGGATGTATTTGGAATAATCCATCACTGTATTGAAAAATCATCTATTCTAGTCGTCTAGGTCGGGACTTGCAGAATACCGCTTGTATGTCTCTTACTGGTTGAATCATAGTTAACATTGTATTCTTGGCTATCCGGGATGAGCTGATCCTCAATCAACTGAGACGCGGCTCATCCCGGATAGCCAAGAATACATTGACTCCGGCCGCGGAAGCCTACGAACCCATATCATATTTGACATTACCGTAAGGTAGTTGGAACTTGAAAAAAATTAAACAAAACTTAGGGGTTCACAAATGATAATTTTTGGTGACTGAAATTAAAATGAACATTTTCAAATAATTAAGTTAGACATATGGAATTTGACCCCGAGCAACTCATAAGCTAGTAGTCTTTCGCAGGTCACGTCATTCTGACGCAGTGACATTTCGGTTTTCCGCAAATCACTAATGTATTATGAGTTGCCTACCATTCAGGGGCAAATGCCACATGTGAACCTTCGTTGCAATAAATTCCCCAACATATGAGCATTGGCGAAAAGTAATCATCTGCCACTCCCCCACATGCATTAGACCAATGTTTCCCCTCAGGGGTCAATGGGTCGATGTAATTTTAAAGGGGGCTAATGATCCAAAGTATCAAATGCGTTTACGTGCATTTCATTCACCTCGTTTCTTTACAGTCATAATTGTTGGACAAAACCTCTGCCTGGTATCAGTAGAAAAAGAAATATTTCAGTGGAACAGAGAACGGAATTGATACAAAAGTAAACATGACATATATCTATAGTAATAGTAACACCTTTCCTTCACAAACTTCCGTACTCATTTTTCTCCAATATATTCAACCTCGCAAACTGGCAACTGTAGCTAGGAATACGAGCATTACACACATTAGTTGTACAATTTGCTCGCTTTTTTGACACTTCGACTTCAAAGCCACATAACAATACGTTCAGATCCCGTAATTTAACATGTACATTTCCGAATAAGCCATGGCTACGGTGATGTGCTGGACCAAAGCGAATTTGAACAAAAAAGCGCGATTTTTCAGTTTCATCCGAAAGATAGTCCAGAAAACAATTTCGATCCTTGGGTGCTCTGGGGCATGTTGAAAAGACATTACGCTTCGTATCTAACTTCAGCCAATGAGCTTCAGGTACCAGTTTGCTTGACAATATTATTGGGAAATTTAAATAATGTCTGATAACAATATTATCACCTTGTTACAAATTATGTAAGCTTTTAAAAAAAATATTGCATCTTTAATTTCTATTAAACGCTTATCATGTTGATTTTTATTGGTCACTATCGTAAATTGTCACTGTATGTCGCTTTTAAAATATTTTTCAACACTTCTCGCTCTCCATGGAACATGGCTGACAGCCTTTCAATTGAAAGTACCCTTGTTGTGGTCACGTGGTTCGTGACGTAAACTGGTGATACGAGCAGAACGAGCACAAATCGGTGCGCCGGACTAGCTCCTTCATGTCTTTTCATCACGCTCTTGAGAGTCTTTGACATCACGACAGAGTCGATGTATGATGTCGCAAAATGCTTATGCATCGATAGCAATGCGTTTAGTAAACAAACAACTAAGCATCGCACAAACAAAATTTTGTGTATACTGTTCCTCTACTCGAAAAGGCATTTATGCCTTTTCAGTTGGCAATAAAACACGTTTATCAATGTGTGGAATTAATTGTATATTTATTATTTATTAAATAGAACTTGAAATAGATAACATAATGTATTTTTATCAATCGTACTCACCTAATGATTTATTCAAACCAAAAATATGAAAAGTCTCCTGTGCAGGTAAGTGTGCAGGTCATTTTTATGTAATTAATTATCAAATACTTCATCTACACTACTTGTTTATGTAATTCTACATTATGTAGTATTTCCAGCACTACTATTGTACTATGAAAGAAAAAATTATAGTATGTATGTATGTATATATATATATATATATAAATATATATATTATATATATATATATATATATATAATATTACTTAATATATATGTTACATACATACCAATGATATACTATAATATTCAACACAAAAATCAACCTAAATTTTGTTTGATTTTTTCCTTCACCATTTCTCTTTTAATTAACAACACCCGCCTTCATTACTACCAAACTTTATTTTTCTACTATTTGCTATTTTTGAAAAATGCCATTTATTCTTGCATGTTTAACTAGCTGAGGTACCTGGCGTGATCCAAATAGTTGAATACTTATTTATCAGTTTAATTCTCTAATTAAGATGAAAAATAAAAATGTGGAAATATTTGAAAAATTAATTACTCATAGTATTGATTTAAAAATTAATTATGACTGCATTAAAATGTTATTTTACTCTTAGAAGGTGAATTATTTATTTATTTTTTACCTGTCTGTATTATTTTGGACTGTAAAACATGCCTATTGCATCCTGTTGCAGATTTCTGAGGCCAAGTTGTGCTGCCTGTGAGCACTTCGGTTGCTGATTTCCAACACATCTGGGAGCTTCTGAAAGATTCTTTGATCCCCGTAAGTTAGGTAACTTATTGTTCTGTCAAATTAATTAATTTATTACAATTGCATTTATGATATAAGATTAACAAAACTTCACTCTCTGTACGAAGCAATGAAAACTGTGAAACTGAGACACAGTTTTGGGAGATACTTTCTCGGGTTATTCATTTCTCTGGTACTCATGACGCATACTTATCTTCAGTAAATGAACACGTACTAATATTCAGTAAATTAACGAAACACCAGTTCAGTATTTCTCAAGTGCATTTTATACATATTATATGTTGCTTGAAATACATGTACTAATTTCTTCCTCCTTATAAACAATAAATTATTGTCCATCTTTTTCTGGAATGCAGATGCATTTTCCAACGTTTTTGTTATATCCTGTATCAATTATATCTATGATTAACATTTTCACTTCATTTAAAATCATAAAATTATTGAACTATTAGAGTAAAATACCGTTTTTTCTATAGTGATAATAAAATTAAGAAAATAATCCAATCAAAAATGCATAAATTGTATCCAGTTCTTGTCTGTTATTGATAATTGTACAAATGTCAATGACACGATAATATTTAGAGTTGTTTAAAAAAAATGTTGATATCCTCTTTGTATCTTTATTCTCAGCTGCGTTCAAATTTTAAATTCATCATAGACGCACGTGTGGACAACCATGTTCGAACAGAGGAAATTTATATCGGGCCTGGATAATACAAATTTGACTCAGGTTAGTGTAATTTTTAAAAAAAATTATGTTTTCACTTGTGTTCTTATACTTCTCTAAATCATTGAATTTTTTGTTTTTAAAATTAGCTTTTTACTTGCAAAATTAAAGCAGTGCAGTGGATTAGGTTCACAATCAAAATGAACAAATGGGATTTGTAGAAATACCATGTAAATTTTTCTTGGAATGTACTGCGGTAACGCAGCTTTTGATAAAACACAACAGTAACGTAATTGTTAAGTTGATACAAACTAATCGTAAAAGTAAGTACTCTTCACAGATTCGCGAGATTGATTTCACGTCGAGGAAGAGAACTGTCCGGGCTGAAACGTGCAGTCTACTACCGACGTGATAAAAAAGAGTTGGCTGCTGAAGCCAGGAATTTTGAGATTGGAATGAGCTTTGCAACTGCATTATTCTGAATAAATTTGCTACGCAAAATCCAATGTGAAAGTCAATTTATGCAATAAATATTCATCACGAAAAAGTAAGTAGTGTTGATTAAACGACAATAATTTAAATAACTATTTTGATGATGCAACTAAAATTATAACTCATTTCATTTAATGACGAATTCATTCTTTTTGAATGTTTTTACATGTATTTATACAAAACGTTAGCAATTTAAAGGATTTACACCTAAATGAATTTTATAATTGTTTTCAAAATTGGAATATTTGCAAAATGAGTTATATATTGGAATATTCGTTAAATTAAAACTTTTCATGTGAATCTTTATTTGAAGTAACTAAAATAAATATTGGCGACATAGGTATTCAGAAAAAAAAGTGAACAGAAGGATTTAAGTTTTGCGGAATGATAATTCTCATAATAATGGAATGACATTACACTAGTTAAGATACAAATTAATCAATTAAATGCATAATAATTATTTTCATTCCAGATATTGCAGGAAAGTATCAATCGGAGACAAATGAAAACATTTTCATGCTAATCCAGCAAATATGTCGCGTCATAATCATCGAAGGAGTTCAGAAGGTACATTACGTTTAATATTCGCAGTTCATTTTGTATAACTGATTCTCATTTAATGGAATTTTATATTTTAAAATTGTATTCAGAGAGTCAATAATAGTTATATAAAACATAAGAACGTTTAGAATAGGAAAACAAACTTTGCCGTTTATATCAATTCAACTTTCAATACAATCGATTAATAATAAATATTCAACGGCTGATATCCTGGCCAGATGAATAGTAAGTGAGTGAGCGAGCGAGAGCGAGAGGGATACAAAATGGTGGAATGGGTGGCGCAAAGGAATGCGTTACTCTGTGCATTACTCGCGCAACATTTCTTGAACGATGGATTGAAAAAATGCGTTCAGAGTGAGGGTATTAGTTACGAAATTGGACACTAGATTTTATGAAGCAATGCCAATCTGAAAAATCAGTCATGCCTTCGCAACATTCTCAATAATTTGCGTTCTTTCACAGGAGTTCGAGGTATCTCCTGTGAAAGAGCTTTACCTGCTTGGGTCATTTCTTTAGAAGTTTTGGAGAAAACGGATAGAGTTGGAGTTCTCGTCACCAAAACAAAATTGTTTCTATTTCACGCCAGTGAAGATGTGTGTTTGGAATGTTGTCATCAGTGCTCGCTGCGATCTTTTGCTTTCAACTGTTTATT